GGTCTAAAGCCCCCTGCAGGTCTAGCCTGCCCCTGGAGGACCACTGGAGCTCTCAGCCACGCCCACAAGGCAGCCAACACTGGCAAGCCTTGGCAGCCACTGAGCAACTGTGTCAGTCGCATGTCAGGTAGCTGAGGCTGTAGCAGGGACAGGAAGGAAGGCTTCAGCAGAGTCCCTGGCCTTTGGCTGGCCTGCCCATGGCTCACCTTGCTGCCTGAGCTGCTCAAGGTAGAGTTTGGCCAAGCGCAGCTTCTTCTCTTGCACAGTCTCCTCCAGCTCCTCCTCTTCTTCCTCCTCAATCTTCCCTTGAGCTGGGCTGTGGGCAGAGGAGGCTGGGTCTAAAGAGCTCACATCACTGTTCTGGTCACTACGACTGTGCCTTCTTAATGCTCTACTGCCATTCAACCTTCCACATCCCTAGAAGCCCTCAGGACCAGCAACTACACATGCTAAAAACTGAAGAATATGGGCTGGGGATGTGGCTCAAGCGGTAGCATGCTCGCCTGGCATGCGTGCGCCCGGGTTCGATCCTCAGCATCACATACAAACAAAGATGTTGTGTCCGCCGAAAAACTAAAAATAAATATTAAAATTCTCTCTCTCTCCCTCTCTCTCTCTCTCTTAAAAAAAAAAAAAAAAAAAACTGAAGAATATGACTTACCAAACTAAAATACATAGGGCCCTGCAAAGGTAAAATTACCCAAACTACAAAGAGATCACTCAAATCTCTCAACTCTAGGGAAAGAGAAGGTTCTATAGGCTTCCAAGAGAAAGGGTCAATAAGTCAAAAATGGTTTCAGACATTTCAACAGCAATGTTGAGAACAAGACAAAGGAGACTTATACACAAAGCTCAGAATGAAAATGTCAGTCCCTGACTGGGCACAGTGGTACACATCTATAATCCCAACTACTTGGGAGGCTGAGCAAAGACACAGCCTGGATAACTTAGCAAGACCCTGTCTCAAAATAAAAATTTTAAAAAGGGTTGTGGTCTAGCTCAATGGTAAAGCATTTACTTAGCATGTGCATAGCCTTGGGGAGGGAGGGAAGGAAGGAAGGAAGGAAGGAAGGAAGGAAGGAAGGAAGGAAGGAAGGAAGGAAGGAAGGGCCAACCCCTGGGATCCCCTGCCCAGTTAAGGCACCAATTGACAAATCAGGATATCGCCAGGAGCCAGGTGCAGTGGCACATACCTATAATCCCAGCAATTTGGGAGGTTGAGGCAGGGGGATTTCAAGGTCAAGGACAGCCTCAGCAACTTAGTAAGGTCCTAAGCAACTTAATGAGACCCTATCTCAAAATAAAAAATAAAAAGGGCTGGGGATGTGGGAATGTATTTAAGTGTCCCTGGGTTCAATCCCCAGTACTTAAAAAAAGGGGGGGGGGGCAAGTTGCAAATCCAGCCTTGACAATTTAGTCATATCTTGACTCAAAGGAAAAAATTAAAAGGGCTGGAGGAGTAGATAAGTTGTAGGACTCTTGCCTGGCATGTACAAGGCTATCTAGGTTCAAAAACATATTGTCAGATGAACAATGTGACATAGAATCTTTCTTCTTTTTTTTACAAAGGATAAAGAATGCACTTCCCAAACAAGAGGGTAATCTAAGAAGGATGATGACATGGGGTACAAGAAACAACAGATTAACACAGAGAACAGAGAAGGCAGATTCCCAAGGTGACAATCACCCCAAACATGGGGAGAAACCAGTCCAACCTGACACGAGGACCCAAGCAGACACAGGAATTGTCATTACCCTAGACTCACTGCCATGACACCATCCTGCACCATGAGCACAACCTCTGGTGAATACTAACTGGATCTGGCTTGGCCTTGTGCTGATCAAGTTCCTGCTGTCCCTCCTAAGCTCCAGACCCTGAACCAACTGAACTGAAGGCATTCATTTCATTCAAAGATGGATCCTGCTTTGACCTGCTCCTGGGAGATGAAGGTAGGTCACAGGAACTCCACAACAGAAAATCCAGAGGAACCCATCCCTTGTAATCATATACCTGCAGATACCGAGTCTCTGTCAGGTACTCAAATTGTGTTTCCTAGGACTCACTCGTGACCTCACCCTCAGGAAAGCCAAGGCCAGACCAGGCCCCTTCCTTACACATCCAGAGTTGAACTTCTATTTAACAATCAATTGTTGTTTAAGGATTAACACACAGGAGATAGAACTCTAAAGGAAAGCAAGGGCATATGCACTATATGATTCCATTCATAAGGCATTCTGGAAAGGGCAACTTAGAGACAGTGGTTGTCAGGGCTGGGGGTGGTAGCAGCAGGATTTTGATGGGGTTGAGGAGACCTTCTATTTCTTCATAGTGATAGTAGCTATACAACTCTGTGCTTGTCAGAATTTACAGAACTATAAACTAAAAAAGTTGAATGTCACAGTATATAAATTATACCTGAATGAGAAAAAAATTTTTGAAGATTTTTTTTTTCTTTTGGTAGTGGGAATTGAATCCCGGGGTGCCCTACCACTGATCTACATCCCCAAGTTTTTTTTGTTTTTTTGTTTTTTGTTTTTGAGACAGGGTCTTGCTAAGTTTTTCAGGACCTCACTAAGTTGCTGAGGCTGGCTTCAAACTTGCAATCCACCTGCCTCAGCCTACAGAATCACTTGGGATTACAGGCATGCACCACTGTGCCAGGCCTTTTAAAAGATTCTTAAGCTACACATGATGGCCACTCCTGTAGTCCCAGCTACTCAGAAAGCTAATGTAGGAGGATGGCAAGTTCAAAGTCAACTTGGGCAACTTAGTGAGACCCTGCCTTAAAATAAAATTAAGAAAGGTGTAGGGATGTAGCTCAGTGACACAGTATCTGTCCATCATGTGTGAGGCCCCAGGCTCAATCCCCAGTACTACCAAAAAAAGAAGAAAGAAAGAAACCAAAGAAATGATTAACTGGAATCAGGAATAATAGTTCTAGTTCTTAACCTAAGTGGAAGGTGAGCAGAGGTTCACCATTTTATCTTTACTTTTCATATACAAATATGTTTTTGTTTTGCAGTGCTGGTACTCAAACCCAGGACTTTGTGCATGCTAGGTAAATGCTTTGTCACCAAGCTACCTCCCCAGCCATATAGTCCATTCACTCTTTGTAGATGATGTATTTCATAATAAAACATTTTAAATACTTACAAGTGCTTAGCACAGGGCCTGATGTATACATACACAATTGCACTTGTACACACATGTACACTAACACTAACCTTAGGATTAAGAAAACATATTAAGTCTTTCTGTGGGCAACTTAATGCAACACATACTCAATTTTAGAAGCAGAATTTCTGTATCAAACTCATAGGAAGGCACTAGGATTCCCTGAAATGAAAGTTTCCACCGGGTAGGAAAAATACCTTGCCTGCCCTTTGAGACCCTGCTACCACCCCATCACCCACAGAAATGAGGGAAAGCCTCCACATTCTGGATGCACCCACCACCTGCCTTTCCATTTGTTCCCCTCCCATTCTGGCACACTTACCCTCTCAGACTTTTTTCTGATCCCTGAATGCCCTCCCTATGTCTCCATAAAACTCCTCATCATCTCTCAGGCCCTATTTAAATGTCCTTTCTCTGTCCTCTGTTCCCAGTACACACCACTGGAAGATGTATGTATGTCTCACTAGAACACATGCTCTTCACCTGCCTGCTCTCATTGAAGCCACTGCCTAGCATGTCAAAAAGACTTGTGGGAGAGCACAACGTGCCAGTAGTCCCAGCTATCCAGGATACTGAGGCAGGAGGAGCATTTGAGCCCAGTAGGTTGAAGCCTCCCTGAGCAACATAATGAAATCCATCTTAAATCAAAAGAATAAAGAAAGACCAGTAATTATAACGCTGTGAGAAAACAGCGAACTAGCAAGTTTGCCTTGAATTCTCCCTTTGCCTGTCAGTCCAGCCCTGTGCTTAGCGCCCCGTCTTGAGCCCAGGAGTTCTCAATGGTCTCCCACTGGGGCCTCCGCACAGAGGTACCGCAGTGGAGGTGAGACGTCGCAGGGCCAAAATTATAGAGGGAAAAGCCACGATCTAAAAGCCATGGCCTGAAGTCGTGGGTCCTCGGCCCAGCTCTGCTCGGATTCACTGAGTCTTTCATTCAGGATAAGCCTGTTTCCCCTTCCACTAAGAACAGCTTACCTCTCAGTCTCAGAGTCGCTAGAGATCTCCTCATTCATCTTGCCGCCATCCTTGAGCTTCTTCCTGTCCCCCGCAGAGTCGGCCTAGAAGACAGGACCATTTCTTTGGCCAGAGGTCTCCCGCCACCCTGCACTGACCAAGAGCCCCTGTGGGCCCTCAAGAGTCCCAGGACTGCGAAAGGCTGCAGCTCCTGGCCTGGGTCAAGCGCAAGGCTTTCAGGGATTTGGCTAACAGAGAAAGGGACGAAGCTGGCTCCAGCTGGGGTCTTGGGCTAAGGGCTGGGGAAGGAGTCTGGTTCGGGTCCTTCGAATGCATGATCCGTGTCTCAGAAGTAAGACTGACCACGGCCCACGGAAACCCCATGATCACCTTTCGTCGCCGCTTGCTGGGCTCTGCAGCGGCCCCGGCCCGAGAGGCCTGCTTTCCAGGCTTACGAGCTGCCGCGGTGGCCGACATGCTGCAAAGAGTTGCAGACGGCGCTGGAAAGTTCACGTGGCAACTAAACCCCCGGCTGCACCGCAAGTCCCCGCGCCATGACAGGTTTCTGCCGCCCGTCGAGTCCCGCCTCCCGCAACTTCATTGGGTCCACCCGAGGGTTCTGTCACGCCCCCAAATGTCCATAGGACAGAGGCTCGTGGCTACGCCTCCCAGAGACTCCATAGGCTCCGGCGCTGGGCCACCGCAGGAAGCAACTCTCCCGGCGCTTCCGGCCAGCGGCTGTGGCGCTTGCGCTCTGCTGCTGCCTGATTTATAGGGAGGGGTTGGGCCAAGAAGGCTTCCTCTGCGCTTGCGCCCCGTAGTCGCTGGGGGGCGCCAGAGATGAGGGTTTCTGCGTGACTCCTCCCCTTCGAGTGTGGAGGCAAGAGTAAACTAGCTTGGCTCTAGAAAACAGGGGGCTATCCAGGCGGTGGAAGGCATTGCCCATACCCCGGACCAAGACACTGGGAAAACTGGTCGATATGTGCTGCATGCCCCAGGCTGGACGAGCAGCGTTAAGAGCGTGCCAGTCTCTTGGGCCTTGGATGGGTCCATATCAGTGTCCCCCTCATCCGTGGGACAGGCCACCGACTTCAGCCTGCCCAGCCTCTGACTCATCCCACTGGTGGCCCTGGAATTCTACACCACCCTACTTCCCCCCTTCGTGGTGATTGCTGGGAAGTCCCTCCATAAGTCAAACCTAAGGTCCACAGAGGGTTGCTGAGACTGCCGAGGGAAGTTCACAAAGTGTTCCCAATACCAGGCTTGGTGGCAGCCACTTCTCCCAGGTTCCTGTTTGTCTTCGGTGAGTATCCTCTGCAGGGTAGGGCAGGACAGGGTGGGTAGAACTGGCCCCTGATCCTTGGTAATTCAGAGCCACTGATCTAGACTTTGGGTGGCACCCCAGAACTCTTTTTTTTTTTTTTTTTTTTTTGGTACTGGGGATTGAACCCAGGGACACTCAACCACTGAGCCACATCCTCAGTCCTATTTTGTATTTTATTTAGAGACAGGGTCTCACTGAGTTGCTTAGTGCCTTGCTTTTTGCTGAGGCTGGCTTTGAACTTATGATTCCCCTGTCTCAGCCTCTCCAGAGCTGCTGGGACTACAGGTGTGCGCTCTGTGCCCAGCCCAGAACTCTGTAAGTATGTTAGGAAAAGGCTTCTGCATCAATGGGGCCCAAGCTCTAGAGGGAGATTTGATCCAAGGAGTGCTGTCCATCCTCCAGCTGCCGATGCCCACTCTCCCCCATAGCTCAGTGACTCAGCCCAGCAACCATGCCAAGTCTAACTTGCTGACAGGAAGGAGTGTTCTGAACAGGGTGGAGCCCAGAAGTGGGAGGGGGAGATTCTCCTTTCACTTCTGTACAACCTCAGGACATACTGAAGAACTAGAGAGAGTAGGAAACCAACCTGTTCCTTGGCCAGAGCAAGCAAACTGGACAAGTCCTGACCTTGTTCTTATAACTGAAGGAAGGGGCATGTGTGAGGCCCAGAGAGCTGGTTTGGGTTCAGACTAGAAATATAGATAGTGGGGAGTAATAAGAGGCCCCCAAAGGGCAAGGTCATGGTGGGCCAGGCTGTGCTGTGAGGTTGGGTAGTGGACAGAGACCATGGAAGCCTAAAGACCTCCTGTGCTCCAGGACAACCATGGCTCCAAAACGAAAGGCTGTGAAGCAGACTGAGAGTCCCAAGAAGAAGGGACGTCAAGGGACAGGAGAGGAAGACAACTTCTGCTCCGTGGCTGAGGCCCTCAGGGCTGCACCCAAAGAGAAGCGTGTAATCCGCGTGGACTCCACTTGTCCACTCAGCAGCAACGCCGGGACCCAGGTGAGCTACATCCCTAGTCAACTGGAGCCTGCTCCTTCTAAATACAATTACACCCCTCCTCCTTGGGAGCTGAGCTCTGGCCAGGTAACTCAAGGCCCAAGTAAGTTTCAGAGCAAAGCTACATTTTCCCAAGACCACAGAGGTCAGGGCTGTATCCCATTAGGTCAAGAGAGGTCAATGTCTGCCCATCAGACCCCCAGGAGGCTTCTCCCACCACACTCAAGAAAGGGCTCTGACTCCTTCCATGTTCCAAGGACTCACCCATATCCCTTCAAATCAGCCCTCAGGGCAGAGCCATGTCCCCCCTTGAACTCTGCTACTTGGGGCAGAGCTATGTCCTTCCAGAACTCCCCACCCCCATGCCAGGGCTTAGCCATGTGTTTTCAAAGAGCATCCCTGAATGCAGAGACATGGTTCCTCCAGCTCCAGGACAAGGCTGCCTCTGATGCCCCAAAGCAATCAGACTCCTGTTCTCATCAGACCCCCTCTTGGTGTTCAACCAGGCACCCCATCCAGCCCCAGTCAGCACCCTCCTCCACTTGCCTCTGCTCAGGTGCATGAAGACTATGACTGCACCCTGAACCAGACCAACATCGGAAGAAACAACAACAAGTTCTACATCATCCAGCTACTGGAAGAGGGTGGCAAGTTTTTCTGCTGGAACCGCTGGGGCCGGGTGGTAAGTGTCCCTTCGTCCCCATCTCTTCCTGATCAACACATGCTCCCCAGGGTCCCCAGAAGGCCACAGCTGCTGACTGTCTCCCTTCACCTCCAAGGCTCCAGGGGTACTTAACACAAGGCCTGGCTTAACATAGAGGTGAGCAAACATTTATGGTGGACACACCCCTGAAGGCTGTCACTTGCAGGGAGAGGTGGGCCAGTCAAAGATCAACAACTTCACCTGCCTAGAAGATGCCAAAAAGGACTTTGAGAAGAAATTTCGGGAGAAGACTAAGAACAACTGGGCAGAGCGAGACCACTTTGTGGCCCACCCTGGCAAGTACACACTTATCGAAGTACAGGGAGAGGACGAGACTCCGGAGGCCGTGGTGAAGGTAAAGAGGCTGAGAAGGGTGGGTGGGCTCTGGGTAGAGGAAGGAGACTGGTTGGACCAGCTGTGGGGCTTTGTCACTTTCCAACTATGCAACCTCAGGCACCAACCTCCCTCTCTGGCCTCTGTGTCTGGCCAGTCTCTGTCTAATGCCATGACCTGCTTCAAGGGCAGCTGCTCCTGACTAACGGGCCCTCTGTCCTCAGGTGGATGGAGGCCCACTAAGGATTGTGACTAAGCAAGTGAAACCCTGCTCCCTGGACCCTGCAACCCAGAAGCTCATCACCAACATCTTCAGCAAGGAGATGTTCAAGAATGCCATGACCCTCATGAACCTGGGTGAGGGTGAGGGGTCATGCAGGGTGGCAGAGCCCTGGGATGACAGGGCTGCCAGGCTGAGTCCCCCCATTCTCCCATTCCCCCAGATCTGAAGAAGATGCCCCTGGGAAAACTGAGCAAACAGCAGATTGCACGAGGTTTTGAGGCCTTGGAGGCACTGGAGGTGGCCTTGAAAGCCCCTACGGATGGTAGCCAAAGCCTGGAGGAGCTCTCCTCCCACTTCTACACTGTTATCCCACACAACTTCGGTCGCATCCGGCCCCCGCCCATCAACTCCCTTGAGCTTCTTCAAGCTAAGAAGGACATGCTGCTGGTAAGGGTTAGCAGGTGGGCAGGCAGGAGGGGGACACCAAACGGACAGACTGGGAAAGAGATGTGGGGGACAGAGGGTTGAGGAAAGTCCAGTGGGATGGACTACAGTGGGCAGGCTGAGGGACAGGGGAAGGCCAGACAGATGGGGGGTAGGGATGGACAGGTGGACAACAGGTCCAGTGGCTTTGGGAACAGACATGTGGAAGAGGAGGGGGAGGTTGGAGGTCCAGTGGGCAGACAAGCTGCCAGTGCCTATCATCTTAGGTGCTGGCAGACATCGAGCTGGCCCAGACCCTGCAGGCAGCCCCTAGGGAGGAGGAGAAAGTGGAAGAGGTACCACACCCTCTGGACCAGGACTACCAGCTCCTCAAGTGTCATCTTCAGCTGCTGGACTCTGAGGCTCCTGATTACAAGGTAGGTTGGGCCCCGCAGAACACCATCCCTCTTCCTCTGCCCAGCTACCCTCAAGGTGCCCAGAGGAGACCTGGCCTTCAGCCTCCTCTCCCTGTGTTCTTAAGACCCAAGGAGAACTCTGGGACTAAAGGGATCAGAGGGGTTGGTCCTCGAGTCTCCCACCCTTCTTGGCACCCAGCTTCTGCTCTCCCACAGGTAATACAAAACTACTTAAAACAGACTGGCAACAAACACAGATGCCCTGTTCTGCAAAACATTTGGAAAGTGAACCGAGAAAAAGAGGTAAGAGAGTCTCCCAGCCCTTTCCCCATCACCACCCTGTCCCTTAGAGAGATAACCTTGGCTTATCTGCCCCTTGGTGAGCTGGCTAAGCAACTCTGACCAGTTTCTGCCAGCCTAAGTGTGAGTGACCAGAGGTGACTAGGCCTTGGTCACACCATCTAAACAACAGAAGAGGCACCTGGGTCCTTGCATGGCAGGCCTCTCCTATTTCCCACCCCTCCCCACACCCAGGGAGATAGATTCCAGGCCCACTCCAAGCTGGATAATCGAAGGCTGCTGTGGCATGGCACCAATGTGGCCGTGGTGGCTGCTATCCTCACCAGTGGGCTCCGCATCATGCCACATTCTGGTGGCCGTGTTGGCAAGGGCATCTACTTCGCCTCAGAGAACAGCAAGTCAGCTTGCTATGGTGAGTCAAGCCCTGTGTGGGTGTGAAGGCGGTCTTTATCCACTGGAAACTCATGGTGGACCTGAGAGAGGAACCTTTAAAGGGTTACTAACCATAGTGCTCAGTGGGGCATCCTGAGGCTTGGAGAGCCTCAGAGGAGACACTTGGTGGAGGTGAGATAGATAGGATGAGTGCACCAACCAGACCTGCAAGGGGTGAAAGAGGAACCTTCGAGGCAGGGGGACGAGGCTGCAACAGGCCAAGATTTCCAGGCACGTTCTGATGCTGAAACTCAAAGCAATGCCTGTTGGAGCCAAGGGCTGGGGATGCAGGACCATCAAGGGGGCCTTCTCCAGAGAGCAATGAAAAAAAGTTGAATATGTCCATTGCAGGATTTCAGTGGCTGCCACTGGGGAGGTGGCAGAGGCTGGAGACTGCAGGAAGTCTGGGCTGTCACTCAGGCCAGATGTGGTGGGCACCCTGCCAAGGGCTATGGTGATGGAGGGGAGAGAATCCATGAAGAGGGATATGTGGGTGGTGGGATGAGCAGCAGCATGTTGGGGAGAGTCAAAGGTATCTCCAGTGACTTCTGAGTTTGGGTCCAGGGGTGTCCTCACTGAAGTGACCTCCCCAGCCAGGCTCCCCAGACCAGGCTGACTGCATCATTGGAAGCCACTACCACTCACCCATCCAAGAGAAAGAGATGCAAGGATTTGTCCCAGGACAGATGGGGCTGAACACCAAGAGTTCCACTGGAAGGGCAGAGAAGCCTAAGAAAGAGTGGCTGGGGGCCTCAGGAGAGCTAGCATGTGGGGTCTGAAAGATTCCAGCAGCAATATCAGCAGAGCAGACCAGGGAGAGAAAGATGCCTCCCTGGGTTTGGTCACTGGGAAGACTTTACTGACTTGGTGAAGACAGAGACAGGCAACAGGGGACAAGGAATGAGGAACAGGTGAGGTAGAGAAGAGCAGGGACAAAAAAAGCCAGCAAAGATAACATTGACACGTCAGCAGAAAGTACCCTAACCACGAGTCAGTCAGGGGTCTGAGCTGTTCCCCACTGAGCCTCCCTATGTCCTGTAGTTACTCCTATGCGCTATGGGTCCAAACAAGTGGGCTATATGTTCCTGGGCGAGGTGGCCCTGGGTAAAGAGTACCACATCACCATCGATGATCCCAGCTTGACGTGTCCACCCAATGGCTTCGACAGTGTCATCGCCCGAGGCCACACAGAGCCTGGTGAGCCCCCCACACACACCTGGGAAAATAGAGAGGCCTGAGGATAGGGGAGGGGCTGAGGTGGGGCACTGGGACACTTTTAGGAAGGAGGGAACTATGGAGAGGGACAAAAAGAAGAAGCCTCCTTCACTGGAGTCCTTAACTTCGTCATCCAACAACTGTCAACAGATCTTCCTGGGCATCTGAGAGGGCTTTAAAAAGTGGTATCAGTAACTGAGCATTGAAGTAGGAGTAGGAGTTTCCCAGAGAGAAATGGGGGAGGATATTCCAGGCAGAAAGTCCAGCCTGTACAGTGGCTTGGAGGTGGGTACAAGGGGAATGAGCAGAGTTTTCCCTGTATCAGAAGTGGGGAGTGTAGGGGACAGGACAAACTGGTAAGGCCAGGGGCCAGTGACCCCTGGGTTACCCATGAGCCTTTCTGTGCCTTGCAGATCCAACCCAGGACACTGAGCTGGAGCTGGATGGCCAGCGAGTGGCAGTGCCCCAGGGCCCGCCCCTGCAATGCCCAGAGTTCAGCAGCTCCCACTTTAGCCAGAGCGAGTACCTTATCTACCAGGAGAGCCAGTGTCGTCTACGCTATCTGCTGGAAATTCACCTCTGAGCTGCCTGCCCTGTCTACCAGGTCCTGCTAGGGGCTGGACCATGATCTTAAATCTTCCTCCCATCTCTGGTACCTCCATATCACCCCTTCTCGACAGCCCCCAAGAATATAATTCATGCCTGGCCCACTGGCCTGTAGTTCCAGCTACTCAGGAGGCTAAAGCAGGAGGATGGCTTGAAGCCAGGAGTGCAAGGCCAGCCTGGGTAACATAGTGAGACCTGCACCCCTCCCCCGCAGAAAAAATACAGTATGGGGGCTGGGGATGTGGCTCAAGCGGTAGCACGCGGGGCCCTGGGTTCGATCCTCAGCACCACATAAAAATAAAATAAAGATGTTGTGCCCACCAAAAACTAAAAAATAAATATTTAAAAAATTATCTCTCTCTTTAAAAAAAAAATACAGTACAGTCATGTCCCCTATAATAATGTTCTGGTCAACAGTGAACTGCATATACTGTAATGGCCCCATAAGATTATATTGCCTAGTGACATTGTAGCCATCTTAGTTTATATAAGCACACTCATAATAATCATACAATCACAAAATCACCTAATGATGTGTTTCTGAGTACATGTCCTCATCATTAAGCAAAAAAATGACTATACATTGTCAGTGCCTATATAATAGATTTTATAGTCAATCTCTTGAACTGATTCCTCCTAGGTGAATTTTGTATCCTTTGACTCACATCTTACCAACCTCTCTTCCCTCCAGCTTTTGACTTCTATGAGTTCAATTTTTTTAGATTCCATATGTAAGTTAGATCACTTGGTATTTGTCTTTCTGTGCCTGACTTATCTCACTTAGCTTCACATCCTCCAAATTCATCCATGTTGTAGCAAATGACAGGGTTTCCTTCTCTTTTTTTTTTTTTTTTTTTTAAGGCAGAATAGTATCCTGTTATGTGTATATATCACATTTTATTTGCTCATTCATCCACTGATGGACACTTGGGTTGGTTCCTTATCTTGACTATTGTGAATAGTACTGCAATAAACATAAGCATGCAGACATCTGTTCATACTGATTTCATTTCCTTTGGACTAGTGAGATTGCCCACTACTTCAATCACCCTTTCTTGTCAGGCCCTCCTGTGTCCCAGAAAGTGAACCCCCTTTCCCCTAATCCCTGTTAGCCTTGGTATGGCTGTGACCCAAGTTTTTCCTCCTAATGTGATGGGCAAGGCAGGGGTAGGGATGGATTCATTACTGGGACCCAAATGCAGCAGCCCATTGAAGGCTATGTGGCTAGAGGGACAGGCTGAGAGTGGGCCAGATTCCACACACATCAGGGCTATCCACACTGGCCTAGTCTATACATCTGATAGGTATGTTCCTCACAATATGCTAAAATTCTGATGTTCACAGGCAAGTTTATTAAACATGAACCTCTGGACTCTGCTTGTTTGTGCCACAACTTTCCAGGCCTGGGCCTCCTTTCGTTCTGTGGTGACCCAGCACATGGAAACTCTAGTTCTATTCCAAGGAGTGGGCACTCACATGGGCTAACATGGGTCATACACTTATCCCAGCCCACCCAGGGGCCACACTGAAACACTCTGTCTCCTCTAATCATTGAGTCTCCAAAAAGGACCCTCACCACTAACTAAATTGTTTATCATTCAGGGACCCACCTTGTGATTCCAACCTTTACCCTAGACATTGCCAGGTGAATCAAGCACTCTTCATGTCTTAGCATCAGATGTCCCAGTGTGTCTCATCTCTGGATATTGCAAACAAGTTATGCATCTGTTGGAGGGGAGTAGCTCTGTAATCATGAAAGCAATAGCAGTTATCACCCCAGGTGACCCTACCCCTAGGTGATACTGGTGCTGGAGAGCAGGTCAAAACCCAGTCTAGGGTCATGCCTGTATTCAACTCTTATGTCTCTTTATTTTGTTACTATTTTTATTTTTTATTTTTTTTGGTACCGGGGATTAAACACAGGGGTACTCAACCCCTATTTTGAATTTTACTTAGAGGCAGGGTCTCACTGAGTTGATTAGCACCTCACCGTTGCTGAGGCTGGCTTTGAACTTAGGATCCTCCTGTCTCAGCCTCCCAAGTCACTGGGATTACAGGTATGCGCCACTGCCTTCTTGTGTCTCTTTAGTGTCCATTAATCCAAAGTTTTTCCTCAGTCCTATTTTTCTTTTATAACTGACATTATTGACAATCTCAAAGAGTGTAGGCAAGATGTTTCATATAATATATCTTAAAATTTGAGTTTCTCTAAAGTTTTGTCCTTAGTAGATTCAGGTATTTCATGGGCAGGAAACTACATAAAATGATGTGCCTTCTGAGAATTATATCAGGAGGGACATGTCCTTTTCTTGGAGACATTAATTAAATTTAATCACTTCATTGAGGCATATCCACCAAGTTTCTCCACTGTAAAACTGCCACTTATGCCCTTTGTAATTAGCCAGTCATCTTTGGGGGAAATGTGAGCTATAAATATCCATTCCTCTTCAACTGTCACCCACAAACTTCAGCATCCATCAATAATATTTACTTGAACTCAATCACCTGACTCAATTTTTACTAAGATGGTTACAAATAGAAGTTACTGAGCTCCATTGTTTATTTTATACTTATTTTCTCCTTTCCATTTTTCCTTTTTCATTTTAAATTTCTTTTGGCAGTACTAGGAATTGAATCTACTGACACTCTACCATAGAGCTACTTCCCCACCCCCACCCCTTGTTTTTTGTATCAGGTATTGAACCCAAGGGCACTTAACCACTTGACCACTGAGCCACATCCCCAGCCCTTTTTTATAATTTATTTAGAGACAGGGTCTTGCTAAATTGCTTAGTGCCTTGCTAAATTGCTAAAGTTGACTTTGAACTGCACTCCTCCTGCCTCAGCCTCCCCAGCTTCTGGGATTACAAGCGTGTACCACTGTGCCCGGGCCCCCATCCCTTTTAAAAATATGTTTTATCTTGAAAAGTGTCTCACTAAACTGGGTGTGGAGGCACATGCTTGTAAGCCCAGCAGCTCAGGAGGCTGAGGGAGGAGGATTTCGAGTTCAAAGCCAGCTTCTGCAACCAATTTACTGAAATCCTGCCTCAAATTTTTAAAAAGGGGCTGGGGCTATAGCTCAGTGGCAGAGCGCTTGCCAGAGTGTGAGGCACTGGGTTCAATCCTCAGCACCACATAAAAATAAAAATAAACAAGGGCTAGGGCTATAGCTCAGTGGTAGAGCACCCGCCTCGCATGTGTGAGCCACTGGGTTGGATCCTCAGCACCACATAAAAATAAATAAAGATATCGTTATCCAACTACAACTAAAAAAAAATTTTTAAATAAACAAATGCATTCAATCCATCTACAACTACAAAAAAGTTCTTTTTTAATTTAAAAAAGTATAAAAAGGGCTGGGGATGTGGCTCAGTGGTTAAGCACCCCTGGATTCAAGAAAGAAGAAAGGAAGAGAGGAAAGGAGGGAGGGATGGAGGGAGGGAAGGAGAGGGGAAGGGGAAGGGGAGGGAGAAGGAAGAAAGAAAAGGGTCTCATTAAGTTGCCCTGGCTGGCCTCAAATTTTTGATCCTCCTGCTTAGTCCTCCCAAGAACTGGGATTATAGGTGATATTACCATGCCTGGCTCTTTCTTTCCTTATTAGTACTGATTCATGGATTCTTACCTTATCCAATGGATTTTAATCCATTACTATCATTATTTATTTTGATTTTCAAATTGTCCAGATTTGGTCAGAAGTTCCCTTGCGTGCTCCTGTCATCTTTTGAGCATTTTCTTACTTTTTAGCATCACAGGATGTTCCAGGTTCATCTTGTACAAATCTGGAATTAGCCATTTCTCCAAGGAGACTTGGCTCTCTGGAGCAGGCAATGGTGTTTAGAATTGGAGACCTGGGAAATAAATGTGCTCCTTGATACTGGGGTGTCATTGCTTTTCAGTCCTTTTGGCAAACATGGCTCAGAACTTACAAAATATCTATTTTTCCAATTCCAATTTAGGGTTTTTTTGGGTTTGTTTTTTTTTTCTGTGTGTATGTGTGTGTGGTGCTGGGGATTGAACCCTGGGCCTTATGCATGCAAGGCAAGCACTCTACCAACTGAGCTATATCCTCAGCCCTCAATTCCAGTTTAGTAACTGAGTCCATCCATTCTTCCCCAACTCCAGATTTCCTCCCATTTCACACAGTAAGAACCTGGGTTTCCATCAATATCAATATATTTTCTCATTTGCCCTATCCCACACAAAAGGTAATTGCAGGATTTCTATCCCCATATCATTGTGAAAAATTAAGTAGAGCTCAAGATTTACTTAATATCACTCAAAAAACAACCAGCAGTTGCCTGCCAAGGCCTCCTCTCATTTATTCCACTCAATGTCATGGAACGCCTATTCTATACCTAGATCCTATTACCTGAGCACTTACTACATACTATACCCTGGGACCTTTCCAACAAGATTTCTGAGAGAACTAGCCCTTCCAGGAGCCAGAGCATACATAAGAGTCTTCCTACTCCCGTTTTTCTGACTGGTACCTCAGTTTCTTTCAGTATATGGATCAACTGATCTGATTACCCCCACTTCCCATCCCTGGGAAAGGCAGAACAAAGTCTGGTTGCCTCCAAATCTACACACCTGCTGTGCCTCCCCCATACCCGCCCCAACAGGCACCCTCAGGCGCTTTCACAGCAGAGCCTCCAGCCACCAGCTGGCAGCTGCTAGGACCCAGGGGGCTGGCACCAGGCCCTGCCCCTCCCTTGCCAGCTCTGTCTCCAAAGTGCAACATCAGAGTGACAGCCAGTACCATCTCCGACAGAAGCTGAGTTGCTGGATCTGGGCTGGGGCAGGGGGAGAGAGCCGGCCGACTTAGCCTTGCACCCCTCCATGAGGCCGGCCAAGCCCCCAAGAGGATGGCAGCCTGGGCGTCGAGGCCACCTTCTGGGCGGCCTATGAAGTGAGGGGCCGGAGGAGCAAAGAAGGGACAGGTGATGGGAATCCTGGAGCTGGAGGCTCGAATTTGCTCTCCGCATACCAACACAGGTGAAGCCTGAGCGCTCAAATGGCCAACACCACAGGGCTGAACGCCACAGAAATCGCAGGTTCGGTGGGTTTGATCCTGGCGGTTCTCGTGGAGGTGGGGGCACTGCTGGGCAACGGTGCGCTGCTGGTCGTGGTGCTGCGCACTCCAGGACTACAAGACGCGCTCTACCTGGTGCACCTGTGCATCGTGGACCTGCTGGCAGCCGCTTCCATCATGCCGCTCGGCCTGCTGGCCGCACCACCGCCCGGGCTGGGCCACGTGCGCCTGGGGCCTGAGCCGTGCCGCGCTGCGCGCTTCCTCTCCGCAGCGCTGCTGCCCGCCTGCACGCTCGGTGTGGCCGCGCTCGGCCTAGCGCGCTACCGCTTCATAGTGCACCCGCTGCGGCCAGGCGTGTGGCCGCCGCCGGGGCTTGTCCTTACCGCCGTGTGGGCGGTAGCCGGGCTCCTGGGGGCGCTCTCCCTCCTCGGGCCGCCTCCCGCACCGCCCCCTGCCCCAGCTCGCTGCTCGGTCCTGGTCGGTGGCCTCGGGCCCTTCCGGCCGCTCTGGGCGCTGCTGGCCTTCGCGCTGCCAGCGCTCCTGCTGCTTGGCGCCTACAGCAGCATCTTTCTGGTGGCCCGCCGCGCAGCCCTGAGGCCCCCGAGACCCGCGCGCGTGTCCCGGCTGCGCTCTGACTCTCTGGACAGCCGCCTCTCCTTCTTGCCACCCCTCCGGCCTCGCCTGCCTGGGGGCAAGGCGGCCCTAGCCCCGGCGTTGGCCGTGGGCCAATTTGCAGCCTGCTGGCTGCCTTATGGTTGCGCGTGCCTGGCGCCTGCGGCGCGGGCCGCAGAGGCTGAGGCGGCTGTCACCTGGGTAGCGTACTCGGCCTTCGCGGCACACCCCTTTCTGTATGGCCTGCTGCAGCGCCCCATCCGTTTGACTCTGGGTCGCCTCACCCGCTGTGCGTTGCCCCGGACCCCTGGAACCTGCACTTTGCACGCCTGGCAACCGCGGGCACTCTTGCAACGTCTCCAGGGAGCCCCACAGGGCCCTGCCCTAGGCCCTTCTGAGGCACCAGATCCTGCCAGGGAATTGGCAGGAGGACAGAGTCCAAGCATGCCAGAGGCCACCTGAGAACACTCCTAAGCTGGAGAAAGAATAGGATTAGAGGGGGCCCATCCAGCCCCCTGCACAAGTCAAAGCAGGTGCCTTGCTTGGACTTTCAGCTCTGGAACATGAAGAGAAGATTGTCTACAGTTTGGCAAGGCCCAGAGGCTTCTCTGGAATCCTGGGTTGGGACCCAACATTGCATGGCCTTATGCCCAAACCTACCCTCCCTAAGGCTTCAGTTTCCCCCTTTGTACCCTGTACCATTTCTAAGGCGCCCTCCACTGTAGGCTGTGGGATTCATGGATATCTCCAGGTCCAGGGAGGAGAAAGAGTGGGCAGGGTCACAAAGAAGAGAATCCTAAGGGCTTCCAGCCAAAGTGATGGACCAAACAGGGCAGGTGTAAGTTACATCTACAGCAAAAGAAACCAATAGAGAAACTTAGGACTGCCCTGATGTGTGCAGCAAGAAGTCTGGACAGAGCCACTGAAACTCTTCTATCTGCTTCTAAAATGCCCAGAGAACAACTGGATCAATTCGGTGTCATGGACAACATGACCCACACCAAAGAGTCTTGGAATCCCAGAACTGGCATGTGAAAGGGGCTGTGGCCCAACTGGGGCTGGTGGATTCACAGATGGGAGGTCCTCTGGGGCTTCAGCTATACCCATTTTCTGGAGGTTTTGCCACCCCAACACCAGTATTTCACAGCTTTCTGGTCGCTGAGAATATTTATTCAAAAACAGGGATTGAAAAAACTGTACAGAGTGTCTGCTGCTGAGAACTGGGCCCCTGCCCCCAGGCCACTCCCCCAGCTACCCGGCAGAGTCGCCTCTTTGGGTTGCCCCCTGACAAGCCCAACCAGTCCATTCCAGTCAAAAGGAGATCAGTGGAAGCAGCAGGAATCTGCAGGGAGGTGGAGAGAAACATGGCCCCAGCCAACCCTCAGCCCTCCTCCCTGATTCCTACAGTGGGGCAGTAGGCCAGGAAGCCCTAAGGGTTGAGAGTACATGGGTGACCACCCTCCCTGGTGGAGCACTAGGGAGGCCCCTGGCTGCTCCCTGAATCCAAGCACAGAGCTGAAGGGGTACTGCCTCCTGTCCTGGGGCTGCCATAGCTCCCAGAACCCTGGGCCAGAAACTGCCCCCTCTCCAAGAGGGGGAACTCCAAAGACCAGGGCAGGGTAGGGGGTGCATCCATGCGTCTGGCATTAGCGGTGTTTGGGACCCCAGGGTGGAGTCTCCATGGGCAGGTAGGATGCGGAGGCAGCCCCCTGCCTGTGGTCCTGCCTGCCCCCGCTTGTGCCTCAGCTGGCCTCAGTAGGGGGAGAATTTCTGCCGCTCAGCTTTCTTGCTCCCATTGGCCGCTGCCATCTTGGCAGTGTAGGCTGCCAAACCCGGGGGTGGCCCTGGGGAAGCAGGTGGTAGAGCCAAGAAGGGCACAGGCTTGAGACCGATGAAGTTGGAGAGGGAGATGGCATAGGGTGTGCCCAGCAGGCCTGGGGGAGCTGTGGGCAGGGCCGTCAGGGGCGGCGAGAAGGGGGCGGGCAGGTCTGCGGGGGCTGAGCCAGGCGTCCCCCCAGAGGTAGACTTGGCCGTCTCTAGACTGGAGAGAGGGATATAGAGGGGAGATGAAGGGAAAGTGGAAATGAGACAGGAGTAATGACGGTAGATTATGGCATTAGATTAGCCAAAGGACAGGAGAGAAGAGACAGGTTGAATGTGTTTGGGAGGAAGATGGGCAAGGTGGAAAGGTGAGGAGGGCAGAAAGGACAAGCAGATATAGTACGGGGAGAGAGCAGAAATGGGGTGACCAAAGGTCCAGGGAAAAGAGCAGTGGAGAAAGAGGATATGAGAGATGGATACAGAGGAAAAAGATGAGGCAACATGGGTGACTTAGGTAGAATACCATGAGGAAAGGGAAGGATGTTAGGGAAGGCAGAGGATCAGTCCAGAAGGAAAGGGGGTCCGCTCTCCCCTCCCCACTTACAATCACCCCGCTGCCCACCCCATGCTCACCAGGCAGTGATGAGGTACTGAGCCAAGGCGATAGAGACTGGCGAGCCAGTGATGGTCACGTGCCGCTCACCAGCACCCTCGGCTTGGTTCCCTATCTTGATGTGTGCCCCTGACATCTGCCGGATCTCACTGATCTTGCTGCCCTGACGCCCGATCACACAGCCAATCAGCTAAGGAAGAGGCAGAATTTAACCCTGGGCAAAGGTCGGATTCCCAGATCCTTTACCCATCCTCCAGCCACCCCATCCCCTGCTCACGTCATTGGGAACCAAGAACTCCTGTGAGCTGGTCTGTGCGCCAGGATCCAGTCCTAAGGTGGAGAAGAGAGACTGAGTGTGGTTCTAGGTCTCTCAGGGCCCCCATTTCCATTCTAGGGGGCTGCCTCGCCTCCTGGGATCTGCCCCTGCCTCCTTGTGCAGAGGCTGCTTACCTGGCACCACACTGGGTGAGGCAAAGGGGACTGCATGGCCCGAGAGCTGCTGGAGCTTGGTGACCTATGCCAAAAAAGAGGGGTCAGAGGTTAGAGGAGGCTTGATTTAGGAAGGCGTGCTTGGGCTGTAGGTCACTTACCTCAGCAGGAGTCACAGCTCCATACTGACCCTGGACAGAAAAGCCCTGAGGGGACAAAGTGATGTTAAAAGGTGGTTACTGCGACAAGCCAGGGCAGCTGGGCAGGACCACTCCTCCCCATCTCCTCAGATACCCAATTCCCTTTTCCACCCCCTCCCTCCATCTTGATCCCCTTCTTCAGTAATTCTTCCTGTCCCTCCCGCTGTTCCCCTTACCTGGTTGGCAGAGAGAAGGACAGTACCTAGAGAGAGGCTCGGATGATAGGGGATAGTGGCTCCTTTGGGTGGGGACTAGAAGGCACAAATGGGAGACTCTGTCAGAATCCTCTCAGGCCCCAGTTCTCTCTCTAAATGCCCAGTGGCCTCAAGGCCCTTCCCATGACCCCCAGATAAATGCATCCCTACACTCTGGAGCTCAGACTCCATCCCTGAAGCCCTGCTCTGCCCCATCTGCTATCACAGGCATGGGCTTTGGGGTACCCGACAAAGAAGGCCCAGGGCCCATCTCCTGCCCCCCTCCCTGATCACAGGCAGCACCTCCAGGATGACAGCGCAGATCTGGCGCACACACAGAATGATGGCATCAGGCACCCCGGACACAGTGACAGCACGCTCTGTGGAATTGGGGAGCAGATCCCCTGCCACTTGCACTTGGGCACCTGTAGTCTGCAAATAGAAAGCAGGGGCTATGTCTGGCTACTCTGATAGCCCAGAGAAGGGCTGCCCAGCCTCAGAGCTCCCCAGAGGGAATGAAACCATAAGCCCAGCTCCCCTCTCACTATTAGAGGGTGGGAACTCCCTCTAGGTGGCATCCTTCTTCCCTCACCTCTCGGATTTCCTTGATCTTGGTGCCAGCCTTCCCAATCAGTGAGCCACACTGGCTGGCAGGGATGACAAGGCGCAGGGTCACCGGAGGTCTGGAGACATTGCCACCATTTGCAGGAGCAGCACAAAGGTCCTAGAGCAGGGAGATGGTGGATTGGCCACACACACTCCCACTACTCCTTCCAACCCTCATCACGCCCTGTTCTGCTGAGGCATAAGGAGGTAACCCTCCCCAGTCCTCCTCCAAGGGAACACTGCCCTGGGCTTGACCTTCCCTCCCATTCATTGCTACTATCTTGAGTAGGAGTCAAGTTTCTCCCAGGGAACCACCCTTGGACTCCCACCCAGCCATCCACAGACCTCATCCAGCTTAAAAGCAATCATGGAGACTGCATGGAAGACAGCTGCTGTAGACCCAGTGATGGTGGTGATACGTTCAGGGCAGGAGCCCTCAGAGATGGTGATCCGGGCACTGCTCTGCGGGTACAGGACAAATACTGGGCAGCAGGGTACCTTCCCCACTCTGGGGCCAGGAATCTTTCTGCCTGTCCAAATCACCAATCTCCAGCCAAGCCTGGAGGCCACCACCCTCTCAGGCACTCACTGGTCATTGAAGATGGAATGGTTCAGGGAGCAGATGGGACAGGGGTCTCCCCTCCCTTCCATATCAAGTACCCTGTATTCCTCCCCCAAACTCCATCCTCACCTGTTCCCGGATTCGCTTTACAGTCTCGCCCTTCTGTGGGAGACAAAGCAAGATAATTGCTCTTAGCCAGAGTGGTCATGGCCTCCTACCCTGGGCTGAGGCCTCAGGTTGAAAAGGACGTAAAGAGCAGAACTAGGCACCTACCTTCCCAATTATGCTGCCCACCTCCTGCAAACAAGACAAGAATATAGTTAGCCAGGCACAGTGGCACACGCATGTAATCACACTGGCTTGATGAAGCTGAAGCAGGAGGATCATGAGTTCAAAGTCAGCCTCAGCATTTTAGTGAGGCCCTAAGCAACTTAGACTGTCTCTCTAAAATATTTTTTTAAAAGGATGTGGCTCAGTGATCGAGCCCCTGGGTTAAATCCCCATACCAAAAAAAAAAAAAAGAATACAGTTAGATGGACACCAGTGTCTCAAGGATGCCTCCTCCCCTCCCTCAGACAGGGGATCCACAGAAGACAAGATTCCTGAGATCACATTTGCTTTGGCCCAGCTTTGCCCTGCCTTGCCTCCAACAGTCCCAAGCCTTGGCAGCCCCACCCACTCACCTTCCCGTGCATCAGCATCCGCAGTGTGAGGGTGATGCTAAGCTCTGGCTCCTCCTCCAGCCCCGCATCTGAGCTGCTCATCCTGTCAGGCGGGGCTGGGGCCACAGTAGCCAGGGAGTGCGTCCACGTCCACGTTCACGTTGTGGCCTGGCCGGCTCTGGCAGAGGCAATGAAGAAGGGGTTTCAGAGAGTAGCCCAGTTCACCCTGCCCCTGCCCTTACACAGGGACCCCAGAGCCAGACTAGTTCCAGAAAAGGGAGATAGAATAAACCTTGATTTGTAAATGTCCCTGGCTGAGTATAGTGGTACATGCCTGTAATCTCAGTGACTTGGAAAACTGAGGCAGGAAGATCACAAGTTCAAGGCCAGCCTCAGCAACTTGGTGAGCCCCTAAGTAACTTAGCAAGACCCTGTCTCAAGCTAAAAAAAAAAAAGAAAGAAATTAAAGAGCTAGAGTGTAGCTCAGTGGTAAAATACCCCTGGATTCAATCCCTAATATCAAACCAGTATCTGACCAGTGTGCTTTGTGTGTCTTGCTAGCTGTGTAATAGGTCATTTAATCCTTCTGGGCCTCAACTTCCCCAACTTCAAAAGGGATATGAATTTTTACTCTCAAGTTATGAGAATTAAAATGAGATAAGTGCATTCACAAAGTACCCCATTTCTCTCATATATTAGAGGAAGGCTGGGGCTGTGACTGAGTGCTTGACTAGCATGCCTGAGGCTCTAGGTTCTATCCTCAGCACCCCCCCCCCCAAAAAAAAGAGGAATTAACTAGGAAACTTATGAGAATCAAAAAAAGGCAGCCTCTTCCCTGAAAGAGAAGATCCCTGTGGATAGGATCTTGAAGGTGGAATTAAGGTTGAAAGTTTAACTTTAAATAAAAGGAGGAGAACTGGGCACCTCCCTTCCCAATTATATTGCCCACCTCCTGCAAACAAGACAAGAATGGAGTCAGATGGACACCAAAGGCCCAACTATGGCTCCTCTCCTCACCCTGGCAGGATGAGGCCAGAGCCCACTGGCTTTTGTGCAAAGCAGCAGCTGGAG